TGTATGTGTGCTCCTCGCATATATTACTCAAATTCTATATTAGAGACGATACTTGCAAATTATGCGACTACTGTGTAATGTTACGTGAATGTATTTCGAAAATAGTTCTGACGTTACGCGGAAAACGCGAATCACGCTTTACCTTATTTTAATAGGGCCGTTTCACATCGTACGGAATCGTCGATAGCAAATTTTAACCCGCATCAGTCATTTCATATGTAACGGAAAATGCGTCGAACTTATTATACGTCTTATCACTAGTCAGTCTCCATTATAAATTAGAAATTGTTATTTTCGGAATCGAAATTGGTTTTTGCGAACATCATATTTATAGATTCCCGTCCTTGCAAGTTAATTTCAAAACATACAAACATCAACATTTAAAGAAGAATCATTTTTTCATACATATTTTTTGGGTATACTGAACTGTACGTACGCAATAGAAAAAAATAAATAATTTTTCCCGCTTTTTCCAAATTTCCCGCTGTTTCTTGGCTTCTATTTATTGCAACGGGATGTTTTATAGCCTACAACCTTGTTGAATAACTGTTATTGCGCTTTCACACAAATAAATAAACTTTTCAGCTTTATATAAGACTTCAAAAGGACATTGGCAACATTGAAATAGAAACTGTACCTAAGTCAAATATAAAAAAAGAGTTTTGAGGTTAGCATCTATAAGTCGGTATTATATAATTTTATCTTATTTGTATATTTGTATCGAGCTTTTTGATTAACCCAATTTATGGGAGGGGGTATATTAAGATAGTAGACCCAAATGTCAATCAGTAGTATGTCGATTTCAAATAGTTACAATACAATACAAATATTCTTTATTGTCACAAAACAAAACAACAACAAAAAAGATATATATATACAAATTGATGGAAATTAAGGACAAACGGCGACTTTATAGCTAAATAGCTATCTCTTCCAAGCAACTGTGATGGAAATGAAAATTTAATAATAGTTTCGTTATATGGGAATAACCAACATGATTTTACACGTTAAAAAGCAAACCCTAATATAATAATAATTCATTATATGCAAACTCTGAATGAGTAGTTTAAGAAATATAACGTTCGGAAGAAAATGTGGTTCCTAAAAAAAGAGACGGACTTTTTCTTACCATTTGGCCATTGTTCTTTGAATTCAATATTTGGACTCGTAATCAAAATTTGAACAATAAATACGCCCAGGCATTTTTATTGTTCAAATTAGATTAAAACAAAAAATAATATGTAGTGCACTAAAATTACGTGAAGACTGTAAACAATCTTGGCGATAAAAGGAATGGCGGCGAGTTTCTTGACACTCCTTCTCGTTCGTTCTACACCCTTGTGAACTGGTAGCAAATCTTTAAGAGTTTTTAACTGGTGTAACGTTCGAAAGTATACCTAATTACCTAATAAGTGATTTTTGACTTTCACTTGCGTAGACCAACGATACACGTCGTACATTCCATTAGATGTGAACCGATCCTTTTAGTCTCTAAACATCCGTAAAAATCGGAGGCAAGTTTCCAAGAGTTCTTGACGTAGATAATTAAGGTGGGCGACACGGATGCGTTAAAATCGCATGCGCACGAGTTATCCAAATATCCAAAGGCAAATAGGTCGACAGCGCATCGTGTTTAGATGTTATATGGCTGGAGTGTGTTACCTACTATCAAGTGAACTCCAAACTCGTCTGTCCTGCTCTATCATAAAACTAGGTTATTCTCCAGATATTTCAAATATTCAAAAACATGATTTACCGAAAACATTTATGGACAATGCACGTTTTGAGGCGTTTTAAGGTACCTACATTTTTATTGTATCTTGCAACGTCTTCGCGGGTACGCAATGGGAACCTGAAATAAATAGATATATAGATAGAATTTAAAAATCGAAAATAAATTGAAAAAAATTTCGACTCGGGCAGGACTTGAACCGGCATCGTCAGCGTTCCGTGCTGTTGCTCTACCAATTGAACTACCGAGTCCTACACCTCATCGTCGATTTTTTTCAACTTATTGATACATGCACCTATCGCGCAAAAAAAAATCAATTTATTTTCGATTTTTTAATTACATAGTGCCTTCATTTGCAATAACATGTAAAAAATAATAAAGTTTTCAAACATTAATAGATATATTTTCCTGTTTTTTCCACATGTCTGAAATAATTTCACTTCTATTGGTTGTATCATAATGTTTAAGGGCCTAAAGCCTTCCCTAAAATATTTCAATTCGAACAAGTTATTCCTGTGATTAGCGCGTTCAAACACATAAACTCTCCAGCTTTATCTATAAGTATAAATTTGTAGATCGTGTTTATCTGTTCGTAGCAATGCATAAAATTACTATATATCCATTTCAGTATATCAAATGCTATACAAATGTCATACAAGAGAAAATTGTTATTCAAGCATATAACTTACTTGAATAGCATTATATTATATACGTGCTGTGCCTGCGGCTTCGTCCGCGTGAAAAAGTTACTCCGGGGTCATCAAAATTTATTTTTGGAAACCTCCACTTAATATCATTTTTTTCTTGGTTGCTCGAAGAATCGTGAATTCTTCAATCGGGATTAATTCAGAGCTGACATCTCCTGATGATGACGTCCGCGCGTAATGGCGAAACGTCGAGAACCTCTTCTCGCTCACGTCGGCCGAACAGCCCGGAAAACAATGAAATGCTATACTACTAGCTTGTACTGTCTGTAGTTTACGCGAGTAATACACATACAAATAAAACACTTTTACGGTTTAAACGCGGTTTATATCAATTAAACTTAATTGAAAAAAAAAAGCCGGTTACCACGGCTCCTGCAAGGCATCTGAGGGTCGTAGTTAAGTCATTTTCAAAAAGTTTAATAATGCGGTTTAAAATTGAAAAAGTGTTTTAGTTTAATACTTGCATGGCTTAATAGTCCCATGCCCCACAGGGGCAACGCGATTTCTCTTTCAGTGCATACGAAAACAGATATGACGCCTAAAAGCCAGACGGATCTAAAAATATATTTGCCGGAACGTAAACGCCAGAATAAACACGAATTTAGTTCAAATGGAAGGACGGTGCAAGGTTGTGCATTCTTGTCTCTTTTAGGTGGACAAAATGTGGTGATATCTTTTCTATGGGGTAATAATAATAACTACTTCATTTCACAAACATAGACATAAGAACATAGATTATAATTATATATACAAAAGAAAACATGTTTGTGCAAAGGCGGCCTTATCGCCTATGGCGATTTCTTCCAGGCAAGGGTATAGGAACGAAATTTTGACACCGCATTTTGTTGTATTTTTTTTAACATAAAGGAGTACAGACAAGCATATGGTTCAATTAATGGTGGGTGATTTACACCAGCCTATAGTATCTAAGATGCTCTGTCGACCTTCGGCTTTGGATATTCGGAAATCCACAGACTGAAACCGGAACGCGATCAAACTTCACGGCTTTTTCATCTGTGGACGGTGGTAGTGTGGTGGTGGTGGCACGGAATGTCTATATTCCTACCACCCATTTAATATCCCGATTTCCAGACGAAGTCCAACATGTTTCAAAAAATTGTACATTGAAAATTCAGAAATTGTGGGATCCGGTGGGGATAGAACCCGCGACCCGTCAATTATTAGCCAAACATTTCGAACATTATTTAACCATCCCGTCAAGTACAAGTAGTTAGATGTTTGAACACTAATATTTTTCACATGTCAGTATATTGAAAAATTTTCGACGCACATTCAAACAAGCAAACAAACTCTTCAGCTTTATATATTAGCATAAATAAAAGAGATTTTTTTTTTATATATATATAGGAATTTTTAAATTATTTTTAAGTAGCTGTACCCGCGACTTCGTCCGGGTGGAATAGTGACTTGGGGTAGAATTTTTAATTATTTAGGCTGTTTATTAATTTACGTAAGGGCGCATTTTAGGCAGCCAATCTATGTTGTAAGTGCTACTTTGCCGCAACACTCTCACCTCACATCACTCATACTCCTACTCCCACTCCCACTACCATTTCCACTCCTATTCCCAAAAAGCCAAAGAAGAAAGTTTGATTGTTCTAGCTTCAAAAACCTCGAATTTCCATACAAACTTTCACCTCCCCTTTTAACCCCTTTTCAATAAAATCTTGTTCTTCTTCAAATCCGTTCAGTAGTTTTGGCGTGAAAGAGTAACAAACAAACAGAGTTACTTTCGCATTCATAATCTTAGTAAGGATAAGGTACACCGCTGTTTAGTTTCCTAAATAAGAAAATAAAGTGTTTTATTGTCTACCAAGTAGAGATACGGAGTGAAGTTTCAATTGCTCTGCATTGCTCGTAAATCTCAGATATTGTAAAATACCGTCCGTCCGAGATATTGTATTGTATCCATACTGTCCGGAAACTTTTTCCAATCACAATATAGTACAACTTACGAAACATTTCTCGTTAGAGATGGCACGAAAATTCAAAGAATGTAAGAAATACTCCGTATTTCTCAAATATCTCTTTGAAAATATCTTTATTTGAAGGGGACGTTGGTGTAATGTTTTTTTCGATAAGTCAAGATGAATCATTCTTTTATACATATTTCTGGGTATCTCTGAACAGTTTCTATAGCGCACGCATCAGAAATCCCACTAAAATGAACAAATTTTGCCTTTTTTTTTCACTTTTATTAGTCACAGCTCGGTGTTTATAGCCTTTTTAGTCATTCTCGATAAATGTGCCAACACAAAAATATTTTTTCAATTGGAACCAGTAGTTCCTGAGATTAGCGCGTTCAACCAAACAAACACTTCAGCTTTATATAGCAGTACAGATTTTATGTAATTTAGTTTTTTCATCGGCATTTTTATTATTGTTTAATTATATAGGAGAACAGACAAGCTAGAAGTTCACTGGATACTAGGTGAAATACCCCAGCCTATACCACGTAAGCAAGATGTGCTGTCGATCGATTTTATGTGCATCCCACCAATGTACATACATTTGTTACAGATACCTAACAGAGTCCAAAAATGGAGCAGTTCGAATCACTGCTGACGTGCTGCGTGTGTCTGGACAGGTACCGAAATCCAAAACTCCTGCCATGCCAGCACAGCTTCTGTATGGAGCCGTGTATGGACGGCCTCGTGGATTACGTCAGACGGCAGGTACTGTCTGATATTCTGTAGTTTAGGTTTGAAACGCGATATATATTAGTTTAACTTATTTAAACCAATTTTAATGTACTGTATTTTAAATACTAACAATTTAAATGTATCTGTAGATGGAGTAACCTTTTTGACAGTTTTAAACTCGTTTTATATTTTTGGGGCCCTCTAAACATATCGAGTCTACCTGTGTAAGATAAGCGATAATTTTTGTTAATTGTATCTTTATATAAGATGTACATACAAAACATTATAAAAATGTCATATACCTACTTATAAAGAAGGTAAGCAGACAGAGGGTTCTAGACCCACCTTGCCACTTCAATGCGGGTCGGCGGGCTTTGAAAAGGACCTATTATGCCCGATCCAAAATTCCAACCTGCGACTTCGTGATCTGCTGTTGTGTTAAACAACCACTAGATCACCCTGAAGAAACCAAAAAATATTTTCCCTATTTTTAACGAGTATCTCGATTTACAGGTAAAATGTCCAGAATGCCGCGCGGAACACCGAATACCCTATCAAGGAGTACAAGGGTTCCCCACGAATGTCACATTGCAGCGGTTCCTGGAGCTGCACGCCCAGATTGCTGGAGAACTTCCCGATCCTACAGCTGGGCAGGTTATGGAGAGGTGCAACGTATGCTCAGAAAAGGCCTACTGCGCGCCCTGCGCCCATTGCGAGAAGAAGGTCTGCGAAGATTGCAAATCCGCTCACATGGAGGTCCTGCGCAGGGAAATCACCAGGATAAACAACCAAATACGACGCGGCGTAAATAGACTACAGGATATTCTCGTTATAGTTGAACGAAACACATCGAACCTTCAGACAAACTGCGGAGCAGTTGCTGGTGAGGTCGATGAGATACACAAGAGACTGTCAAAAGCGCTGAAAGATCGAACGGACTTCTTACGAAACGAGATAGACCGATATCTGGCGACGGAACTCAGAAACTTGACGCACCTCAAAGATAACTTAGAACTGGAGTTGAGCAACATACAGAGTAACTGCGACCTGGCAGACAAGTATATGAACGACGACGTCGAATGGGAGGACACAGAGTTAGTGGATACAAAAGAGATATTCTTGAAGACGGTTGAGTTTCTGAGGAACTTCGACTACGAGGGCGGCGATTACAACCGTCGGATACGATTCATCATGACTCATGATCCTAATCAGCTTGTTATGCACGTCGCTAGCTATGGTGAACTCAACATCAGTAATCCAGCGCATTCTAGCAGCTATGCGACCAGCTTACAGCCATCACAAGGCTTGACTAGGTCCAAGAGCGATCATAGATTAGCTACACAATTCCGTCAACAAGAAGAAACTAAGAGTTACTACGACAACGATGAGCCTATTCTTGGGGGGCGTAAGTTTGGTGAGCGTCGCCCGCCTCCCCCTGAGAGACATACGAGGGACTACGGCGTCACTGATGATTACAGCGGTTATGAGTCAGAACACCGTCCGTCTCGTCGTTTCCGATCGCGTTTCGTCAGGAGTCATCAACAAGATAACGACTCAGACACGGAGCAAGCCACACGCAGTGTCAAGTCTGAGCATAAAGAAAAAGAGAAAGAAAAAGTAACAGACACCGAAGATGTGACACGTGGACCGCTCAGCGGTATATTTAGATTAAGCGATTGTCCACGAGTAATGCAACGGATATTAGATGTAGATAGTGGCAAAAAGAAAGAAAAAAAGAACCACCCCCGCCTCCTAAACTAGTCCAGCCCACACATCAACCGCCAAGACGGCCACCACCCGCACGACAGCAAAGCGAAGATGACGAAATAACCCGGCTCAAGAGACAAAATAAAGGTGCAGCAACATCTCAAGAACCCGATAGGCCAGCGCCAAGGGCCGCTGAAGAAGAAAGAAGCTCAATTACACGTAAACCACCCACACCAGCTCGGGAGGTGAGTTGGGAAGAAGAGACCGATTGATGGGAAATACGATACAATTTAGATAGTTATCATCGTTACTAACAAGGAAATTGCCACAAGTTTGGACTTTCCATCATACACTCCATGTTAACTCACAATTCCACACAAACACAACACAACAAACTGCACGGTGAATTTTTGGTGTCAAAGTAGAATTTAAATATATTCCTCAGGCATCCAGCGACGGAGAGTCAGATGAATCTCTCGGTACACTACAAAGAAATCAACGAAAAAGTGCCGCTACAGCTCCGAAACCCGTAAACACTACCCGACGACCCTCAGCCACAGAAACCCCAACGGCTCACAGGGTCGCTGCGAGAGCCGCGAGCACAGAATCCAGTGCTTCCACTGAGAGCTCCGGCTCGGCGGTGAAACACACAGGTGCAATATTATCGATTCAAGAATTAAAAGCTAAATATAGCAATGACAACGGACTTCCACCAAAACCAAGATCTCGTTTTTTGTCCGCAGGAAATGAGAGAACAACACCGGCCACAACTAACGGCACTGTGGGCGGTGCGCAACGAGTCCAAAGTAGATTTGTAGGGTCTCAGCGCCCGACGCCCGCCCCAGCACCCGCCGAGCCGGCTCAAGAAGACTCTGACACGAGTTCCGAAGAAGAAACAGATTCTTCCGAGGAGAGCGAAGAGGAGCCTGCGCCGCAAAGAAAGCCCGAGAGCCAAGCGATGGCCCGCAGCGACATCGGTCCCTTACTCGCTCGCAGTAATAACGCTCGTAACGATGCCCAAGATAATAAAACGAAAGATCCACCCGCCCAACCGCGGTACCGTACGCGACCGCAGCCAGCTGAGGAAGAAACTCCTCGCTACGGAAGTAGTTCCTCTTCATATAGTAACCGTTACGGTAGCAAGCCCAAAGACGAAGAGCCAACGTCATCTCTCGACGATGACTCCAAATATCCAACAGCCCGATCGAGGTACTTGGCGTTGAAAGAGCGACGCAATCGCTTAGCGAGAAGCAAAAGCAGTCACAGCGGCTTTGGCGCTGCTGAAGATGATGATCAAGATGAGCCAGTGTCTCCGACTACGGCCTCGCCATCTGCCTACCTCGCGGCTCGGTACGGTTCTGGTACAGGCGGTTCAGAACTGTCCCGAAGCCGATCCTCACACGCGTTGAAGTCCAGAGAAAGTTCCCCTGAACGACCCGTAGCGGGCGAGAAGGACGGAGCGGCTTTGAGCTCGTGGGCGCGCTATTTGAAGAGCAAGTACGGCTCGCGTGGCAAAGATCGAGATACTAGCGGGTCGTCATCTAGCGCGTCACGACGCCTGTCTCTCGGGCTACCTTTGAGATCAGCCAATGAGCTTGCCAGTTCTGATGACGATTCAAAAAACGCGGCAGGCTCCCCCATCTCCCCTACGGCGGCTACAGCAGCGGTAGCAGGTTAGAGAACAGAGTGGCGTGTACATAGGTTTGAGGCTTTGGCTTTTCACTGAGTTTATACAAGGTGTTCATGTTTGATTTTATGGCAGGTTTCGCAGCAGCCGGTTCCTCCCCTAGGAGCCAGTATCTGCAGAAGCGCCGTTTACAATTCAGTTTGGGGAGTCGGGGGAGCGAACCTGGTTACTTCACCTGGCCACGTGGCATCGCTGTGGGTCCCGACAACACCATGGTCGTAGCTGATTCATCTAATCATCGCGTTCAAGTAAGTTTAAATTCCATATTACTGGAGATTATAATTGCAAGCATGCCAACGGAGTAAATTCATTTCAACCCTTTAAGATTTTTAACGGTTTAAAACAAGAATTAAAATGTATTACTATATTAAATACGGTCCGCTATTTTCAATGCAGCCAAATCATTAAAAAAAATATTTATATTTCAAAAATATATTTTACGTTTTAAGCCGTTAAAAATGTTCTAATGTACTACTCGTGCAAACTACACACTTGATGATAGGCGAAAAAACCAGCCATATAACATCTAAACAAGATGCGTTCTCTGTTGTTGACCTAAATTAGCTTTGAATATTCGGTAATCCACAGACTGCAAGCTTCACAGCTTTTTCATCTGTGGTTTAATAAATTCGTTATTTGTGTTGCTTCTGAATTAACTCTACTTTATTTCTAGGTGTTTGATTCAAACGGAATCTTCGTTAAAGAGTTCGGACAGTACGGCAGTGCAGAAGGAGAGTTCGACTGTCTAGCTGGCGTCGCTGTCAACAGGATAGGACAGTACATCATTGCTGATAGATACAATCACCGAATACAGGTATGGTTGTTCAATAGCTCTCCTGGTAAACGTTATTATGCCCTATGAAGCATTTTGACCAGAATATGATTACCGTAAAAATGGTTCTTGTAAGTTAATCTTAAACGATACACATATATTGTCGTGGACATGTTTTAGATGATTTAATAATAATACATCTCTTTATTTGGCATTCATTTTGTACAATCATTAGATGTAGTAAAAATAAACGTAATTACATTAAAAAATAATAATCATATTAAAAGTAAAATAATAATACTACCACAAGATTGAATTAAATTGTATTAAAAATGATGCCAAAAGGGTCTTGCGTCAGTAAAGTTGCAGAAAGCTTATAACTTATAAAGCAATAACTCGGTAGCTTAATTGGTTAGAGCTACAGCACGGAACGCTGTGGATGCATTTTCGAGTCCTGCTCGTGTCTTAATTTTTTTCAATTTATAATAGATTTTTCATGTACAATATTGTCAATAGTATCCACCCGGTAATTAAATGTTTGAAAACTTTCACATATTTCACGTGATGGCGTTGTATAAAATAAATGGTTTATAAGAATTAAGCAACAAAAAAACCTCACGCTTGCACACAAAATTCGAAGCAGATGAGTAAACGTCAAAAGTTGGGCCAGAAACTTTTGAATGTGTGAGTGACAGTTTGACATGTACGCAGAACTTCGCACGGATACCCTTCATTCCGCAGCGAATAAAACTTTCGTTAAACCACAGATTAAACAACAAAACACACAGATTAAACATTTATTATAACATAGAGTTATGTTGCATTACTCTATGATATAATAAAGCAGGGCAAACATAATGTTTGTTTAATGATAGAGGCAGACCGACAAACATGGAGTTCGTTTGATGGTAGGTGATATTCCCCAGTCTGTAGAATCTAAACAAGATGCGCGGTTGGCCTATTTTGGCTTTGGATATTCGGAAATCCACTGACTGTAACCGAAACGCGATTAAGGTTCACGGCTTTTTCTGTTGACGGTGGTTGGTGACCCGGACGAAATTTCTATATACGCATTCAATGTCGAGATTTCCAGACGAAGTCCAACATGTTTCTGAAAAATTTTGCTTTACGAAAAGTGATATACCTCAGCTATCAATATCGTTGTCGATCTTCTGATATTCGAAATACTATATGATAAAAATTAAACTGTTTAAAACATGAAATGTATTAGTTTAACTTTACTAACCATTTTAAGTGCTGCCCAATGTTCGGATGCTTTGCAGCAGCAACAGCGAAGTACTTGGCATACATAATAAACAAAATATTTCGATTTAGAGACATTTATTTTTCACGAAAATTAATTCACTTAAATGAATTTTACATTTACAATTATTTAAGCAATTTTTAGTTTAAAACATGAAACATATTAACTAGACGTTGGTGCGGGGGACAGGAAGTCCTTAATGTTAAAGTCGAATCTGCTCGAATACGCTAGCGTTATCTGTTCCGTCGTTCTTACACACTGACTCACGTCGATCTCTCGTTTGAGTCTAGTGTTATTAATACAAGACCGCAGGTGTATTCCACGTTTTAAACCGTTAAAAGTCTTTCATCTGAACGCACACGGTTAAGGTAGCTCAAAGAATCTCTGTTTACAATAGCTTAGCTATAATACGCCAAAAATTTTAAGCTACTATTTCCGCTTAAGTGCAGACAATTTGCGCAGAATTTCAATATATGCCGCGGTTGGCTGGAATTTGGGATGACGCTATGATTTACACATTACTAGCTGAGTCACGCGACTTCGTACGCGTAGAATAGTTATTTTGAGTCAATTTTTGTTTTATAAAACCTCCTTTTCACCTATATAAATTTAAGCTGTTACGCACGACGTCGTCCGCGTCCCGTCGATCTTGCAAGTTAATCTTAAAAGATAGACGTATACTGTCGCGAACTTTTCTTTAGATCATTTAAACAGAAATCAATCTTTTGAATGAATTATTTTTTGTATATCCTGAACCGGTTTCGCTTTTTCGACACAGCGCTATGTTTTATATATAATAGCCTTTCTCCCGTGACCACGGCTGCTGCAAAGCATCCGAAACGTCGAGCCGAAGTTAAAAATCGTTTTTAAATAAGTTTAACTGCTATATCGCGTTTTAAACCGTTAAAGTGTTATATTTATAGCCTTCCTTAATAAATGTTCAAAATTACTCAAAAATAATTTTTCAATTCGAACCAGATTAGCGCGTTCAAACAAACAAACAAACTCTTCAGCTTTATATATTAGTAACGATTTGGGCGTAAATCTATATTTATGTCATTTGTAGCATCAACCAGCTTTTAATATTGGTTTTAATTTGAAGCACAGACTTACATATGGTTTATTTATACGTGATGTGACATGTCTTTATTTTTATATAGCTTTAAAGATATCCCTTCAATATACTACGTTGAAAGAAACGGCATGAAAATAATATTTCAACGTATAAAGTAAATAATATTTATAACATATTTGCTCGTAAAGTGGATGTAATTACACCAATTATTTCAATATCGTAATGTATCTCATTACGCACTTGTGCGATAATGTAATGTAAAAGGCACGTGTTTTTTTTCTTAGCAAAGAGGTTTTATGTCAAGAAAGTTGTCAATATTTTATGAATAAAATTAACTTTGGGAAATAAAATATAACAAATAAACCTTTATTTCTTTAATTTAATTAACTTTGACAATAAATTACAACCATTTATCTTTAACAAAAACACAAAAATATTAATTTACTTTATTACTAATACTGGCTGTTTTTGTACCTTTGCTTAAAAAAAAAAGTTAATGCGCGCGCATCGCTTATTTGTAGACAAGTAAAAATAATTCCGCGCGCTTTTTTTTTCGCTGTATTGTTTTTATTAATTTCCTCGTAAATATGTTATAAAACGTCGTATGATATACGTGCGCTTTGAAAATTACAGTCTCTGCTTTCTTATATAATAGTAATATCGCCTCTACTGCAATTTTCAACTTACCGCACTTATATCATAATGTACTAATAAATCCTCAAAATGGTTATGTTAAAAATAGTGAGATATTGTATTATAGAGGAGGACAGACAAGCATACTTAACACTTGATGGAAGGTGGATATTCAAAAATCCACAGACTGAAAACGACACGGACTGTGGTTCGTGATTTGGACGAAAAAAAAACATATTTTACAATAACAGCTAGAATGCTCTTTCGCTTTATAATTGGTACAAACACAAGAGAATATTCAATATATATGATTTAAATAAAACACATTTAACGGTTTAAAACGTGAAATATATAAGTTATGTCATTTTTTAATTTATTTCGGATGCTTTGCAGAAGCCGTTGTCGCGTAAGTAACGTAGCACCTAAGATATTTGGCATTTAAAACCGTTAGAAGTGTCTATAGTTTACGCGAGTAGTACACATTTAAATAAAACACTTTAACGGTTTAAAACGCGATCTATTAGTTAAAGTTATTTGAAAATGGTTTTTAACTTCTGCCCGACGTTTCGGATGCTTTGCAGCAGCCGTGGTCACGGGGAGACTGTCAGTCTCCCCGTCATCAAATCATTTTTAAATTAGTTTAACTAATATATCGCGTTTTAAACCGTTAAAGTGTTTTATTTAAATGTGTACAACTCGCATAAGCTACAGAATGGATATACTGGTTCGTAGACTAAACTTAATTAAACATAACGTGACTTTTCGCTTCAAATTTAAACTTTCAATCGAGATACTTTGATTAACCTTCAATTCAGTCCCTAGAAACTTATATACATAACTTATATTATGTATATAGTATTATGGTATTCAGGAACGTGGCAGTCTATGCAAAATCAGAATAGGCCGACAGCGCATCTTGCTTAAATGCTATAGGCCGAGTATTTTACCTACCATCAAGTGAGCCCCATCTGTCCTCCTCTATGATTAAAAAAACTGTTGTTAAAATATACATCACGTTTTAAACCGTCAAAAGTATTTATTAAACTAATGCGGCAAGGAATGATGTTTCTTTTGGTTGCGATATTTAGCCATGGGGACTGATAAAAAGAGAAAAATGTCAACCGTTTGAAAAATTACTTACTGAATTTACATAACGCAGCCAAAACATTAAATTATATGCCACGACTCTGCTTGGGGTTGTGGTTTGCCCCCCCCCCAAAAAAAAAAAAAAATTATTTTTTTTTTTTTTTTTTTTTTTTTTCGGGAGGGAAAAAAAACCCGGGGGGGAAGGAAGGGGGGGGGGGGGGAAAAAAAAAAAAAAAAAAAATTTTTTGGTTTAAAACCCCAAAAAAAAAAAAAAAATAAAAAAAAAAAAAAAAAAAAATTTTTTTTCCCCCCCGCCGAAAAAAAACCAAAAAATTTTTCGGGGGAAGAACCGGGGGGGGGAGTGCCCCCTGCTCCGGGAACTTGTTTTAAAAAAAGCTGAACTAAAACTTAAAAAAGTGTTATAGAACATAATTACGCACTCTCGGTGATTTGTACACTACATCCAAAACAGGTTGTTTTGTAGTTACCTAAATGAGCAACTGATAGTAAAAACCAATGAGCGTTTACCCCAATCAGCGTAACAAACACGGTACCAGCATGACGAATACCAAGTCATTTCAATTATGCCGATCTGAATACAAAATGTCTTCTGGGAAATGAATAGAGTGTAACGCTATCACTCCGGCTCTGAGCGAGTCTACTGGGAGTAACGTTGTAAGGGGGCCTCAGACGAGCCGCGCTCAAACGCTCCCATAACCGATAGATTTGTCTGACACACCATTACTAAAAAACCATTTAGAATGAGATAGACATCTAAATAAATAATACCAGGTTATAGAAAATATTTATATAAAACACTCTAAATGGTTTTAATCGCGAATCTATTAGTTAACATTGAAAATTAACTCGCCTGTTGCCAGCGAGAGTCGTTAGTTAAAATAATTTAATAAAACACTATTACGGTTTCAATCGAGAATATATTAGCAGCTTTAAAACTCTGGTAGTAATTAAAATAAATTAAAATGTAAATGCATTTTCTTTCATTGCGTTTTAAACGGTTAAAGTATTGTATGTAAATGTTTTGTATAACCTATTGTCCATGATACTATTGTAAATTATTTTAACTACGGCCCGACACTTGAAAGCATCCGCAAAGTCGGGTAGTAGTTAATATAATTTAATAAAACACTCTTAACGGTTTTAATCGAGAATATATTAGCAGCATTATAATATAGTAGTAAGGTCATAGTTAAAATAAGTCAACTAATATATCTCCCGTTTTAAACGGTTAAAGTGTTTTATTTAAATGTGTACAACTCGCGTTAACTACAGACATAGAAAACATGTTTAATATGCAAGTCACATCTTATCTCCTAGAACAATATATAACAAAGCGTTAATTAACCGTTGTAATCGCCGCGTTAGTAATCCCGTTTAAATGTTATTGGTGTAATATAGTCTATGGTTACATTTCCTTTAATAGAGCGTGGATAATATTATTATATTCGTACCTAAACTCAGAATAGTGTATTTCGTAGAAAACCCGTTTCCCACTCGTGGGGCGTGGGGCGAACACATTTCTGTGTTGTGTGACACAATATCCATTCTTTATACAATATGGCAGACTTTACCCGACCGCAACAACTTTTTATTGGTACCCTGGGATTCGAACGCAGGATCTCGCGCATAACGCAAGAGGCTTAACCATTTGACAACAGGGGCAGTCATTTCATAGCGTGGTTCCGTAATAACATTTATGTGGAGGGAAAGTACTTACAGTAAAGATTTCTTACGAAAAATGCATAAAATAGGAAACACACGTTGAAATAAAACACTTTAACGGTTGAATACTCAATATATTAGTTAAACTTATTTGAAAATGATTTTTAACTTCGGCCCGACATTTCGGATGCTTTGCAGCAGCCGTGGTCACGGGGAGACAAAGTAATCATTTTCAAAATAAGTTTAACTAATATATCGCGTTTTAAACCGTTAAAGTGTTTTATTTAAATGTGTACTACTCGCGTAAACTATAGTTACGGTATTTCAAAAAACGTTGGTTTATCCATTTCCAAAATGTTGATTACTCAAACGATTTAGAATTAAGGATGGCTTTAGTTAAAAAATTGGGAAAAGTATTGTATTTCACGCGAGCACACATTCAAATGAAACATTTCTAACCGTTTAAAACGCAAAATATATAATTAAGTAAGTAAGTACTTATTCAGAATTTATTTCTGCAAAGTGTTTCGGATGTTTTGCAGCAGCCGTGGTCACGGTACGCCCGAAGATGGAGGATGTCCGTAATGTCAAACTTAAAACGCCTAATTAATATATTAAGTTAACTTATATATTTCGCATTTTAAACCGCTAAAAGTGTTTTATTAAACAGTCAAAGGTACACTACTAAAAACTCGCTACATAATTTAATTGCCCTACTGTATAAACGAAAATACATTGAAGAAAATTACGACTCGGGGAGGACTTGAACCGGCGTTGTCAGCGTTCCGTGCTGCTCTAATATCATGTGAAATCAAGTTTTCAAATGTCCTACTGTTTTTATGTATCGACTGTGACGGTATAAAACGATATTTAGTAAATATATGTATTGAAGTTAAATAAATTTAAGTGTATTTTAATTACAAATAATACAATTTATAAATTACTATATTTTATTCCTTACAGGTGTTCGATCCTGCCGGTCGCTTCTTGAGGTCCTTCGGGAGCCAGGGTACAGGGGACGGGAAGTTCAACTACCCCTGGGGCATCACCACGGACGCCCTCGGATTTATTTACGTGTGTGACAAGGAAAACCATAGAGTACAGGTGAGAAAAACTAGATAAAACCACGTGAGGGATTTGAACCGGAATCTACAGAATGACCACATACTACAAACATTTACCGTTGCGTTTTTAAAACGGTTTTGTTTAGCTCGACCCGTGCGGAAATTATTTATTTGACTCAAAATTAGGAATTGACATTTAAGCATGACAATACAATATAACAAAATCAATAACATTATAAATCCAAGATGGCCGCCGATACAAAATGGCGGATTACATAGGTTCCTTAACCCTCTCAACTGGGCAAAGGGCTAGTAAAACACGATGATTATGTCATTTTTTTTTGTAGTGTTCAGTACACAAAAAATAAAACCGTTTAACTTTCGATTTCAATCCGTGGATTTCCGAATATCCAAAGATCACATCGGTTAACAACGCATTTAGTTTAGTTCCGCTATACGCCTATCTTTTAAGATTAATTTGTAAGAACGATGGGTAGGGACGCGAACGACGTCGTGGTTAACAGTTTAAGTTTATAAAGATTAACGAATTTGGATGAAAAATATTTTTAAGAGACAAAGTCGCTGGCACAGCTAGTACATTATATCAACATTTCTCATTTCAAATTCAGCGCACGCATTGCGTTTGTATTATTTTGTATTCATTAAATTTGCACGGAACAAACCGTAACGTAAATCAATTTATATTATTATAATTATTATTATAGCGGATTAAGCAGAAACTGCATTACGGAATTGACTGTGTATTATGATTTCGTAATTATCTGTATCCAATAGCGTAGCTAGATTGACAAGGGCCCTGGTCTACCTAATCCTAGAAAGAATCATCCCCTCTTTCAGCCTAGCTTGAATTAAATGAACCTCCAAAATTATAAATTTATTAAAATACGTTCAAGGAATCCTTTTCTTTCACGCTTATATCTTTTTGAAAATGAGGTTCGAGGGCCCCCAAGTTCCGGGGCCCTGGTGCATTGCGCCACCTGGCCCTGCGGTAGCTACGCCACTGGCCGTATTAGTCGCGTAGAATAATTATTTTGGCCATCAAAATGTGTTTTTGCAAATCTCCTCATCTTTATAAATTATAGCTGGCACGACGTGGGTGGGGCCCCGAGTTAATCTTACAAGATAAATATGTCGCGGACTTTTATTTAGATTGTTCAAAATGGAATCATTCTTTCATTACTTTTTGGTGCTTAATCTTGAACCGTTTTCGCAGCGCACGTAACCGAAACACTCAACAGATTTTTCCCCATATTTTCAACATTTCCCAGCCTTTCCAAAGCCTAAAGCCTTCCTCGATAAATGCTGTAACCGACACGAAAAGAAGTTTTCAATTCAAACTAGAAGTAGTTAGGATTAGGGCGTTCAAACAAACAAACTCTTCATTTTTATAATATTTGTATAAATTTCGTAATTCATACAGTAGCGATATTAGCGAGTTTTATGAAAAAAGGACAGTCAGAGATCACTAGATTGTTAGCGAATTATGCATATAAAATCTAATCTAGATGCGATGTTGACCATTTTGACTTTAGATGCTTTTTATATATGGAGGATGATTATGACAGAGGATAGACATAAAATATCACTCTTTAAAACGGACACAGAAATATGTTTAGCATATCCTTCACGTGGGAAACGGCGAGGAAAACATGCCGCTCAATTGAAAGATGAACCGGCCCGTCATATAATTAAACAAGATGCGAGGCTTTGTGCTCGAGAATCAAATAAATACAAGCTAAAAACAAGCTATTACGGTACAATAGCTAATCAAACAGAATTATTGTTAAGTTAAACGATCCATGCTTTGTTATTAGCTTAGTCCGCTTATTCATTTATGCTAAGCCAATTTTAATAATTACGGATTAATTCGAGTCGTAATATGTTGTTGTTTATTGGCTAAATGGGTTATATTTATGTCCCGAGAGCGTGTATCCTGTGGGGCATGGGGCAAACACAGTTCTGTGTCCGTTTCTTAGATCGAATATATTTACAGACAAGTAGCTGTTCAGACTTTTGTGCTCGGTCCGACCGAAATAATTTATAGTTTTTCTCACGGTTCGAATGTAACGCGTTTAAGAAGTCGAAAACTTGGTTATTTGACGGACTTTGTTTCTTAATTAAATACTGTCTATAGTTTACGCGAGTAGTACACATTTAAATAAAACACTTTAACGGTTTAAAACGCGATATATTAGTTAAACTTATTTGAAAATGATTCTTAACTTCGGCCCGTCGTTTCGGATGCTTTGCAGCAGCCGTGGGCACGGGGAAACGTCGGGCCGAAGTTAAGAATCATTTTCAAATAAGTTTAACTAATATATCGCGTTTTAAACCGTTAAAGTGTTTTATTTAAATGTTTCTTAATTTAAAAAATCCCCTCTGGTCAACGAACCGCCGTCACAGGTGATAAAGCCGTCCGTATGTGAATTTCCACATAACCAAATTAGGTCGACAGCATATTTGTTGAATTATGGTTGGAGTACTTTACCTTCCATCAAGTAAACCCAAAATTTTCATCACCTCCTTAAATATGTTTAACATTTTATTGCATTATATAAAAGCCATTTTAAATTGAAAAATGTGACTCGGGCAGGACCCGAACCGGCATCTACAGCGTTCCGTGCTCTAACTCAATTACTTGACTTTCCAGGTATTCCAATCCGATGGAACCTTCGTGGGTAAGTTTGGTTCATTCGGTTCCAAGCTTGGTCAACTGGAACATCCTCATTACATCGCGGTGTCCAACACCAACCGCGTCCTGGTATCAGATTCGAACAACCATAGGATCCAGGTCTTCGATGTCAATGGAAGGGTTCTATCTTCGTTTGGAGAAGAAGGATCGGAAGATGGACAGTTCAAGTTCCCTAGGTGAGTAGTTTACGCGAGTGGTACATATTTTAAAATTGAATTAGAGAAGTTTAGTGGTAGGTGATTATAGATTAAACAATTTTTACGACACGGGACTTGAACCGGCATCTTCAGCGTTCCGTGCTGTTGCTTTAACCAATTGAGCTACCGAATCCTACACGCGTACTCGTCTTCGTCGATTTTTTTCAACTTATTGTTACATGCACCTCTCGCGCAATGTAATTTGAACCTGAACACTTGCGCAGCGGAAGTGAGAAAGCTGTGGATGCCGGCTCAAGTCCTGCCCGACTCGTAAATTTTTTAATTTATAATCGATATTTAATCTTAGTGATATTATTTTTAATACTTTTAACGGTTTATAACGCGATCTATATCGATAGTGAACTTAAAAGCGATCCGGAAGCAGCTTCTTCGAAAACGTACTGAAATTTTAAAAGCGGTCAAGATCGCGCAATAAATCCTGAAACCAATTTTGCTCCGAACCGTGTACCTGCATAGTGCATGTAAAAATGGAGGAAGGTCGGGGCCGTTTTGTTTCTGCTGTGCATTAAACAGATTGGAAGTTTGCGAGAGTGTCGTGGATGTGAATTGTATTGTGAATTTTAGAGCTCAAAATAGAAACGCGATGATCAAAAGTTATTAAATAAAGCGCTTTTGACGGTTTAAAATGCGACGTATATTAGGTTACTTACTTATGAGAGCTTTTAAGTCATGTAACTCCCCCCCCCCCCCACTATGAGACAGTAAAAGAAGTACACATTAAACAATTTAAACCGCGAAATATATTTCAAAACTTTAATATTTGTGGTGATGGTTAGAAGCCATTTGGAACATAATGATGCAATATCGGCACCTCACGAAGAAAAATAACAGTACAACAACAGTATTTTAGTACAATAACAGTATTTTTTTCCAAAATTTTTTGGAAAAATTTATAAATTTGTAAGACATTTATATTTTAAAATGTACGGGATATATCCGTATTGTCCTCTTATGTACCCAACACTATTTGTGCTAGGAATGGTGGGCTACAGTAAGTTGAGAGTAAGAAGGGATTTTGCTTTACAGTCCTTGGGGTGAACTCACAAATACATTAAAGTTTATTTTGAGTTATGAAAGATAGTTTGGTTTAAGTTAATATATTTTTGTTCTATGATATATATATATATTGTTTATTTTTTTAACCCAGATAAGCCTACTGTCCTATATTTAGGACAGTAGAAATAAAAAATAATTTCAGAATACCCTCTTTACAAGATTATTTAGTCTTATGATTTGCATTAAGAAACGTGTCAGCTTTATTAGAAAAAATAAAATGAAGGTATTAAGTTTTTCCTTATATTTTACCTTATAAGTGTGTAATAAAAGTGCGTTGAGACATGGCAAATGAAGGTATGTATAAAAAGTAATTTTACTCGTGAGTTGTTTTTTTCTGTGTTAATATTTAGTTGATAACCTTAACTTTTGTACTAAATAAATATTCTAGCAAAATAATATAAATAAATTACGTATAACTTGTTACAAATACTAGCGTACTATATAAAGGACAGTAGGATAATATGTACATGATTTTAGTACAATAATACAACTTTTTCTTTACAGACCGTTAGCTGGAGAAATTTTAGATGCTTTAGAAAATGTTTCTGATAATGAAGAAGATTATAGAGAACGACTGATATGTATTCTACCTCCTCCTGTTGATCCTGACTGTCTCACTGACGAAGATTCGGATGAAGAAGATAATGTAACTTTGAATAATTTGCCACGAAACATTCTGCTTCAACCGGCTGAAGTAATGATTCAAGGGCAGATTATGGTGAGTGATACAGAAGAAGAACCTTCTGATTCTACAGGTCGAACTAAACGTAGGCGTACCTAGATGGAGAAGAGAAACATTGTCATAGAAGAACCACATATGGTGTCCATCAATAACAAATATATGGGAGGAGTGGATGGTCTGATGAAAATATTTAACATTACGGAATTGGTAAGGGTAAGAAATGGTACATGCCGTTGTCAAAATGATTGATTTGCCGAACATAAGAGGAGTTATATAAAATAAATCATGGAAAACTGGATCATCTGGTTTGAGAAGGGTAGAATTGTTTGATTGAATCAAACAGAAAAAATGCCAAAGAGGGCCTAGCGACCCTCCCATCATACCATGCTGATAGTCGTAAAGATCAAATGAATATCTGGTTATTCCTCAATTGAAGCAAACACATGTCGTCAATGTCACAAAAAATGTTTGAAGTTGCAAGAAATGTGAGGAGGTGTGTTTTGAAACATATCATTCATAAATAGTGTTAATCTAGTAAATTACATATAACAATGGGTAATATAATAATAGTTATCTAATAAACTACACTTTTTGATTACATTCTGTTTTGTCATAAATGGTTTTTATTTCCTCTTATTATCCTACTGTCCTACATATAGGACGGTGTTTCCCTGAAAGCTTACACTTAATTTTTTTTTCATAATTTTTTTTACGTTGCATAAGATCTAATAAACTAAATAATATAACTTTTTTTCAAAATTTTCAGTAAATTTTAGTTTCAGGTTATTGGTAAAGATCTCTGTCGCATTGGATTCAATCTGTGATGACAGTGCATATATGTGAATATATGGTGGTTAGACGTTGCTGGTTCAAGTCCTAACCGTGTTGTAAAATTTTTTCAATTTAAAAATACAAAATATGTTTTACTTTGTAAATCATTAAGGAAATTTAAAAAAAAAATACCTCTTATATAAATAAAAACGAAATAAAAGGAAAAAGGTTATTGACATTAAAAAAAAAACCTTTTAAACGGTTGAAAACGCGAAATATATGGCCCGACGTTTCGATTGCTTTGCAGCGGCCGCGGTCACGGAAATTTGAAGATTGGTGTCCCTGATGTACCGTCAATGTACTACATTATACATAGATAGATGGCGCTAGCGTAGCAGATTTGATAATCCAAATTGTTTTATTTAACTGTACTTCTTGCATTAACTACAGACGATGTATTAGTTTGTTTATTCTTAAACTACGCAACGGCGTGACTTTGTTCGCTTTTTAAACCGTTAATTATTGTATTGAATAACTATAATATTATATCTACTTGAAGATTATAGATTCAACAGACCCAATTAAAGCATGACTAACTATTATAAGTTTGGGGCCTTTGAATTCATGTATGATAATAGGTTTAAACTAAAGTCCTTCGTAAGCCCACTACGTGTTTCGTTAACGAGAAATCGATATTGCGTTGCTATAAAGGTCTAGTAAGGTCAAGGAAGGTTCTGAGCCATTATCGTAAATTACTGTTATGGTTGCATGAGAAATATCTGCACCACAATTGATCTGACCTTCAAAAAAGTTGGGGTTGCAAAGTAGTTTAGACCTTCAAACTTGTCACTAAGATGTACTGCATCGTAATATCCCATCCAAATAAGATGCGCTGTCGCCCTTTTTTGGCTTTAGGTATTCTGAAATCCACAGACTGATCAGATCTGACAGAATCCGTGTCACGACTGTACATAATAAATGTATTTTTTCTAACTTGACCAAAATATGGCCGATTTCAAACAATAGAGAACTAGTGATGTCCTTTTATAGTGTGTAGTCGATGCCATAGATGACACAGGGTTCAATAAATATCCTGGACAAAACAACCACAATATTCAAAAACACTTTTATGATGTATTATTTAAATAAAACACCTTAACGGTTTAAACGCGAAATATTAGTTGAACGTCGTGAAACGTCGGGTCGAAGTTAAAAATCATTTTTAAATAAGTTTAACTAATATATCGCGTTTTAAACCGTTAAAGTGTTTTATTTAAATGTGTACTAGACACGTAAAGTATAGACAGTATTTGATGTATTCTTTCTGAAAAATTATGTCACTATTTTTTAACTCGACGTTTGTAACGCTTCTCAGCGATCATGCATGAGTAGGACTTTTTCTATTGTCGTAAGTCCCTTCCTCGTCCCTTCTTACGTCAATGTCAAATTAAAGACATTTTAATCTGTCCAATTGCGTAAATTAATTCTTAAGATTTTCATAAATTTTAGCATGAAATGGTAGTTTTTTAGGTGAATTTAAGATAGTTCATTAATGTTATCCAGTTATCCAAAGTGTTTTATTGTATATCAATGTAAACCTTATAAGAAAATCACGATTTCATGTTAATTGTGTCTGTTTACCAAAAATGCCAAGTAAGAAAAAATACATAAATGTATGTATTTCGTCCTTTTACAGGGGTGTCGCAGTCGATGATCAAGGTTACATCGTCGTAGCAGACTCCGGCAACAATCGTATCCAGATCTTCCACCCGGATGGCGGCTTCTTGCGCGCCTTCGGTTCTTGGGGCTCCAGCGATGGTGAATTCAAAGGTCTTGAAGGAATCGCTGTTATGTCCAACGGAAATATCATAGTCTGTGACCGAGAGAACCATAGGGTACAAGTTTTTTGAGGTAAGTACTTTTTGGCGTTTATTTTTAGGGGCCGTTCAAGTATTACGAAGCAGATTTAACAATATTTACCCCCCATCCCCCTTGTCGCAAAAGAAGTAAAGCTTTTACCCTCCCCCGTGCTTACGTAAAATTTTTCAATAAAAAATGTGGTGGTTGCCATTCGTGTAAAAAAAGTAAATAAATATCATGACGTAATCATCATCTGGACTCCCCTCCCCCCATGTCATCAAAAATAAGCAAAACACAGACCCCCACCCCCCTATAGTGCTTACGTAATACTTGAACGAACCCTTACTTGAATTAAGGGTTTATGACAATTACTGACATTAATGGTTTTTTTCCACCTATTTCAAGTTACGTTATGCCTTATATGAGGCAGCTAGAGGCAGAGTGGCCTAGTAAGAAAAAACATGATTTTCAATAAAAATACGCAATTAACTTGGCGAAATTTAATTTGTACAATTTGTTTAAGAATTGTGTTAACAATTTTCGGACACTGTGCTTTTGTAGAATAACATTTTTAGACATCAAAATATAAATAAGTGTAGTCAAAAATTGCAGTTAGTCTACCATGCTTCTGGAGGCGTCACATAATGTTTGGATTTTTCGCGAGTTTTCACTTAAAAAAAAAATCTTGAACGGTTTAAAACGCAATGTATATTAGTTAAACGTATCAAAAATAATTTCCAAATAATATGTTTAACTAATATATATCGCGTTTTAAACCGTTAAAGTATTTTATTTAGATGTGTACTACTCACGTAAATTTCCATTGATGATTATCAGTGGAAATTTACGCGATCGTGTTTGAATCTGTTTAACTGTGTTTTATATGTGTAGGTTTTGAACTTGACAATTCCACATCAACATTATTTATATTGATCTGCGCACTTAAAATTAATGGAGTTAGGTTTTATTATAAAGCAATTAATTTAAATTAAAAATCGATTATCGATTGAAAATTCTACGATTCGGGCAGGACTCGAACCGGCATCCACAGCGTTCCGTGCTGTTGCTCTAACCAATTGAGCTACCGTGTCCTATACGCCATTGTCGATTTTTTTCCTCCTATTGACACCTGCACCTCTTACGCAACGTAATTTCAACCTTAACACATGCGAATTAATTTTGTATTTCTTGATTTCAGGTGATCTACAACTTCAAACACACCGACCCAATACTTCGCTGATATTCTTCTCTGAATACTTTTATAATTGTTAATTCTTCCGTCTGTCTCTCAATGCTGTCTTAATTTTTCACATTTCATAAATTAATAAATAATTAATTTCCGATTGAATTTAATTAAAACTCCATTATACCGCAAATATAGTAATAACAATTGCTAGAATGATTTTATTGTTAATTGGTATTTAGTATACTTTGTCTCTTGTAGGAAGTTTGACAGTTCACTATATAAAGCAAATTTATAACCATAGATAATATCGTAATTAATTGTCAAATTATAATAGAACTGAACATTACACGTTATTTGTATTACTCTGTGGCAAATTTTGAACTAAAGACAAAGTAGATAGCTATATTCGTATAATCTATGGTACAATGACAATACTTTTAATTTCTTCAAATAAAACATTTTAAACGCGAAATATACTTAACTTATTAAACAACACTTCAAGTCATGATAATTGGGTAAACTGATATATAAACGGTTTAAACCGTTTAATGTTGAAATAGTTACGTAAACTGCAGACAATATTTTATCTGTGGACTGAACAATCAAAGATGGCGTCTGATAATTATCTATGGCTAGAATATTGTTCATACATTGTCAAAATAGCTATTAAGTATTATCTGTAGTTTACGCTAATTCAATTTATATCAACACTTCTGACGTTTTAAAACGAAGAATAGTTAACTTATTTTTAATTTATTTTAACGACAACTCAGAGAGTATAATGCCGCTAATAGTGTATAAAACCGTGAAGGACGTTTTATTAAATTTTCCATTAACATCCAACAACCGTTTAAAAGTTACCTGAAAGATTAAATTACTTATAATGTTGCCAGTATTTTCTAATTGGCAATTCGATATCGGATCTTAACGAAATGGACATTTAATAAAATCCCTTAACTTAATTAAAAGAGATCGGAATCAGTTCACTCCGGTAGATTCCAAAAATCAGTTCGCCTCTATCGTTCGTTTGTTTTAGAATTTCTAAGCGCTAGAGTTGTGTTCAGTGACCTAAATTTAAGCGAGACATATCTATGGGAATACACATTCATTAATTTGTAACACTAGGGGGGGCAATTCTCATTACTAGCTTCATACGAATCTGAAAAATATCGCCGAGACTTATCGATTGACTAAACATTGCTCCCATGACAATGCCATTTTTTGTAGCAATTTACCACTTACATACAGATAGTTTAGAAGAAAACACATTCTTTTACTATTTATTATGAGGCTGCTAGAGACAGAGTGGCCTTTATCAAAAACATGATTTTTAATAAGGAAGAATATAAAAATGCGGAATTACTTAGACGAAAATGAATTTGTACTATCATTTAGGTCACTGTGCTCTTGTAGATTAACATTTTTAAACTATTAAAGTTTGAATAACTCAAGTCGTAAGATTGCAGTTAGGCTACTCTGCCTCTAGCGGCTTCATATCATATTGTATATTTCAGTATTTATAAAACTCAGTTTTAAATTAAACATGGTTTTCACTTGTGTTTCATAAAGTTAATAAACCTTTCTTTTTGCGAAATTTTAAAAATAACTAACTTAATTAAAATTATTCGATATTTTAAATAATGTTGTTTAAAACGTGCTCTTACTTAAAAAAAAAATTGTAATAAGTTTAACTGCAGATAAGTTTATAAATATTTAAAGCACGCGATAAAAGTATTTATATAATATCGAGTTAGTGCTTCTTTTATAAATCCGTCGAAACGTGACTTATTTGTTGAAATACTAAATAGATAATACAATGTCTAGTCATAGATGGTAACTATTTATATACAAAAAAAATATATATATATAAGAAATAACTATTTATATTTTTTGACGAATTCATTGGCCGTGAGTTCGATTCCAACCTAATCTAATCTTTTTTATCTTAAACGATCGTCACAGATTGGAACCGAAGTGGACATCACGTTTCGGCTTTAGTCTGTGATTTCTAATTGTCGAACACCAGAATAGATCGGCAGCGCATCTGATATATGGGGTATTTTTAATATCAACTGGACTCCAAGCGTGCCTGTCATCTTGTCATTGAGAAGTATCTTAAACTTAACTTAAATAATATATATGTAATTTTGTATTGTTCTTGAAATAAAATGTGTTTATTATTAATTTTTTGTTGTTTTATTTCGTCAAATAAAACCTCGGATATAATATCAATAAAACACTTTTAACAGTTTAATATGCGAAATATTAACAATTAAACGATGTTTCTCATATTTACAGCAATGTTGGCCATTATTCAATATTCCGCGTTTTTAACCGTAAAAGTGTTTTTTTTAATCGCCGACAAGACAGACAAGTTATTTTATTGACAGTCTTGCCCGAAAATAATTAATTTGATTTTCGTAGTATGCTGCTGTGTGTCGCTGGCTCAAGTCACGTCCCATTGGATTTCGTAATTACCTAAGTAACTAAACTGTACTATAATAATACTGTACTGTAATTTTTTTTACTGAGAAGAAACCATTTATATAAAGATTTTCCAGATGTAATATGATCATGTTTCAGAAATTATACAGTGCAAGATGCATGTTAAACCGAGAGGGAATCCAACTTAGGACCTGTTCATGGCTAGCCATACAGTGCTAGACCAATGGCCCGTCAGTCTCAAAAGATTACCGAAAGCCATTAATCTTAAACGGATATTTAATAACGCGATATCCATAGTCCCCAAGATGCCCCAAACCCCCTTGTTGGCTGAAACATCAACGTCAAGCTAATAAATTCGTTCAAAAATTCAATATTTGACATCGCAGTAATAAAAGACCCTACAGAATGGGATTAGGTGACGGTCACATTTAGAGCTAAGCTAAGCTTTTTTTATTTCATAAGCTGCATTGGATTTCGACGTTTTTTTTAATTTTCGGATTTTTTTTTATATCGTTAAAAGAGGAATCATTCTTTCATACATATTTTCTTGGGTTCCTTGATCCGTTTTCGCAGCGTACGCATCTGAAACCCACAGAGAAGACTTTCCCCCGTATCGTATACATTTCCCGCTGCATCTTCGCTTGTATTTGTCACCACCAACATAAAAAAATAATGTTTTAATTTGAAACTGTTGTTTCGGGGTTTTGGGCTTTAAAAAAAAAAAAAAAAAAATTTCTCCCGCTTTGTATATAGAAGGCATATTGTTCACACTATGTCCGCCTTCGCCGAACCAATTTTTCGGAGATGCGAACCCAAGACTTAATGTTACAAAAATTATATTGGTACTTGCTAACGCTATCTCACCTTCTACCAAGTAGATATATGTATATAGAAGTATATAGACCACGTATGTAGTTTTAGTAGGTCGAATATTTTTCGCATACTATGAGACGCGTACCTTATAGGTCGTCTTAGAATGATAAATGAATGAACGGTTTTTATTTTACAAGTTACTCCCGGCAAAAGCTATGACAAATTGAGAGGAATCGTTCGGGAAAATTGAGATGCCTAGACGACGATCAGCGTAACTATTTACTCACATTTATGGTTGAGGAGGTTAGACAAGCATTTTCACTTGATGGAAGGTCAAATGTCCTAGATAACATCTCAGCAGGATGCGTGACTGACCTAATCACAAAAAGTAATTAAATAGTGTATTTTTTTAGCCAGAATAGTCTTGTCTTATCAAAGATGCGCGTCAGAATATAGAATCATTTCTGTATGTTTCAAGGTTGAAACCGTTAAAAGTGTTTTATTTAAATGTCTACAACCAATAACAAACAAAACCTAACTACCCCTACCACAAAATATTAAAATGTGTTTTTTTTCAAATGTGAAAAATAATTTTTGTTTTTCAAAAAGAAATATCCATAACTCGTGAAAGCTGTTTTTAGAAACAAGATTGTCATAAAAGGCCCTCGCAACATATAACATAGTATCTGAACACGAAAAATATACAATATTTTTATGCAAATCAAACACATCTACGAGGCTCTTTACCGAGCGTGTTATCATAGTAAAAATATAGTGAAGCTTAACTCATGCGAAACTTAATAACATTATTTACGCATTTTTTTATGTTTAAACAAAGAGGTAAAAAAAAAACACCCCCAAAAAAAAAAAATAAAAATTAAAGAGGGGCGGTCGACTTATTATGGCTTTTTAGACATTATCTCACTGAATCCGAAACAGAGATGTACACTCTAGTTTACACGAGCAGTACACATTTAAATAAACCTCTTTAACGGTTTTACAGCGCGATATATTTTAGTTAAACTTGTTTGAAAATTATTTTTAACTACGGCCCGACGTTTCGGATGCTTTGCAGCAGCCGTCTCCCCGTGACCACTTGTTTTATTTAAAAATTGTTTTATTTCACCATTTATGAACGGATCAGTGAAATGGACACAGAAATATGTTCGCCACATGCCCCACAAGGGGGAAACGGAATTTCACACATTCTTAGGCGTTTGTATTCCACATGACAGTATCCATGAAAATCTAAAAGTGTATTTTATATTTTAAAAATGCCGATTTGAACTGGCATCGACAGCGTACTGTTGTTGATGTGTAAAATGTATTTTATATTTTAAAAAATGCCGATTTGAACTGGCATCACATCGTACTGTGCTGATGTATTGGTTAAAACAGTAGCACGGAACGTTGTGGATACCAGTTTAAATCCCGGTCGTGTCGTTTAATTTTGTAAACGTGTATAGTTCATATAAGCTTCATATTGTTTTTACTATGTTGAAAGCCTTCTCTATTCGTCACATTGGAGCATCTCGATGTGACAAGATATTGATTGTGGTTGAAGTTTGGCACAGTGTATAACCAGTAGGACCGTTCGAGGTCGCTTTGTTTCATTCAACGATCTTACAAACCAGAGTTTAGTAAACTGATGTACCTGAAACTGTAAGATGTGGGTTTTAGTAATTTTGCTGTCATTCCATTAGCATATTTATTCTGTAGTTAATTCTAAGTTTACTGTAGCTGGCAAACAATAGGTACACGTTTAAATAAAACACTTTGAACGGTTTAAAACTAAA